GTGGTGGTCAGCCGGGGTCCTGGTGCGGGAGGCTGGGCTCATCACTGCAAGAGTTGTACGCGGGGGATGGAAGTGGCATTGGCGTCCAAGTCATTGAGACCAAAGTCGCCTGCCCCAGGGCTCAGGGCCAGAAGGGTCTCCGGCCAGCGAGGCACGGATGATGCGCTTTCGTGCGTTATAGGGCTGGGTTACCCTACGCTGTGGTTGTGGGTCTGGTTCCAAGGCTTTGGACCCAAGATTTGGAGGGTGTCGTTCTGGGACTCTGAGCTTTCTGCCCTCAGTAAAGTGTGGTCAGAAGCCCACAGCCACGGCAGCGACCTTCACCTTGTGACGCTGGGACAGTTTTCAGGGCGATCGGAGGCCTCCTCCCCCGTGATGACATTACCTGTGGCATGTGCGCCGGGGCCCATCATGGCTCCCCCTCGACTTTGGGTGCAGGGCCCCGGCAGACCTTGGAGGGCAGTCTCGGTGCCCCCTGGAAGCATACTCAAGGGGGCTGTTAGCAAAGGTCTGCATTTACACAGCAAAACTGGCCTCTCTGAGGAGAAATTTTGGCAGCTTTGTGGGAGACAGAAGTCCAGATGCTCCCGCTCAAGGTGGACGTTTCTCCGCACGTCCTTCACATCTGCACTCTGCTGACGCACGGCTCTGGAATCTTCTAGATGTGTGTGAGGGACTGTGTGAGAGAGAGAACGTGGGTGTCAGGGGCGTGGAGGGGTGAGAGTCCCTTCGGTGGGAGAAGGGTGTGGGGAGGACAGTGCCTTCCATGGAGAGAGCAGTCGTGAAGCACTCTCTCTCTCTGGAGTTTGACAAAGCGGCCCGGCTGAGTTGATTTTTAGGGGTCAGGGAAAGGCCAATCTATTTACACACCTTTGCTAAGGAGCATGGCGGGGCAGTGATGGGGGCCGGGATTAATGAGCAGTTTTATTACCTCCTTGTCAGGAGGGTCATGGGATATTATTTTGATATCAGGGGGCCCCCAGAAGCAAACACAACGGGTGAGGTTCTAAATAGAAGAAATGCCAGAGAAAAGGGGGCCTCACCCCTGGCCATTGAGCGTTTCCCTTTCTTCTCAGCCAGGGATGGGCCCATGACCCTCCTCCCACCCCAGTGCTTTCAGGGGGATCCCTCCGGGGCCGCACCAAGGCCAGCTCCCAAGATAATGCTGGCAGGTGGCGCCGGGCCAGGAAAATTAAACACCGTGGCTGCCAGTGAAGGAAGCAGCCAGGCCATCCCCCGGCCTGCCCAGGGGCACTGACGACACAGCCTGAGTGACGAGTAAGGAAACTGCCCGAGCACTGCCTGCCCCCAGCCCTGACTGGCCCAGTCGGGTCTTCTGCCCTCCAGCCTCGGGACGGGACCGGGCTTGGCGAGGCTGGACGACAGACCGAAATGACTGCTCCCCTCTTGTTTTCTGGTCTTCGCTTCTCGCCTTTTCTCCGTCAGGGCAGACTGTAGCTGTGACCGTGTCTATCCGCCTGACCCTGAACGGGAAGGAGGAATTCTGCCAGATGAACACAGGCACGGACAGACAGCTCCACATACCAGGGGCAGGGCCGGGCTGACGTGGGGGGCCTGGCAGCATGTGGGGTGCAGGTCTGGGCTTCTCAGCCCCCGCAGACCCTGTGGCTCCCCCCCTCTCCCCGCCACCCCGGCTGGGGCTGCCATGCCTGTGCGTCGTCTGGCCACTTACCCCCTATCCCTTTGTTCTCTTGGCCTAGGAGATTGCGGCCTGTCCTAGGGAGTCCTGGTCTAGGTCTACGTCATCTGCGGCCCAGAACCTTCCCTGCGTATGGAGCCAGTGAGCTCTCTCCTGAGTCCCTGCCCGTCCAGCAAGCATGGCTCTGGGTCTCCCACTCTGCTGGACAGAGGCACTGTCTAATCTGCCCTTGCAAGAGGCCTCAGTTTGAGGGCTCATTTGTAATAAATACACAGCAAATCTCGCTGGCCCCTAGATTGCTTTAAATACATATTTCTGCTCGTCTGTCCTCGAACACGTTCTGTTTATGCTGCCAGGGCTGGCCACACGGGACCTGTCAGTGAGTAGGCAAGAAGGCCTCTGCCTAACTGGAGCGAAACGTGGGGGTGCATACCAAAGGAGAGGCCACCTTTGGGGGGTTCAGATAACATAGAGTGGGGAGAGCTTTGTAGAGTCAGGCAGCTGGGTTCAAATCCTAGCCCCAGCGCTGAGGCCTGTGTGACTTTGGGGAATACGCCTCACCTACAGGGGTGTGTTGTACTTTTCTCATCTGTAAAATAGGGATAGTGTTACCACCATTGCGGGGTTGCCGTGGGAAGTAGCTGAAACGGATGTAGAGGACCAGGGTGTGTTGGGTACACGCACAGTAGTTATCACTGTCATCTTCGTGCCGGTTGGAGCCCTGGAGCTCTGTGAGATCTCAGATGGGGGAGGCAGAGGGGATTGTCTGGATTATGCAGGGCGGAGCCCCGCTGCCGAGGGCAAGGACTGCTCCTCAGAAACAAGTTGGGGGGGGGGTGTTGTCTGCCTTGTGCCACCACCAGCTCGCAGGGCTGCATGGCCCCCAGGTAGCAGAATAATTTCATTTTTGGTAAATTCCACTAACTGCCAACCAGTCTTTTGAATAGAAGCGTGTGTGCCTGTCAAGTTTCCCTCGCAGTTACACCAACTTTTCTTTAAAGTAATGAGCTGTTTTCTTTTTTCCCTGTAAACATGAGGCTGACATCAGAGAACAATTTTTGATCCTGGTTTTGAAAGCTAACTGGGTGGTTTAGACATGGGAATCCCAGGCAGTTGGCTGGCTCTCTTTCCTCCGTTTCACTGAAAAGAATTTCTTCAATGAGCCCACATCTCAGGGGCGAGATGCACTTTGGATTAGTGAAAGTTTAGAAACATTTAGGTGATTATGGTAAATAATTCACGCAAATCCTGACAAATGCAACTTACTCTTTTGGGCATGCGGAAGGGAGAGCAGAAACCGGCCCCCTTCCTCTAGTTGCTTCCCAGTCCTTTTGGCGCCATCTAGTGGAGGAGCCCTGCTAAACACAGGATTTGCTTCTGCGGTCCCTTCTTCAAAGTAGAAGAAATGCAATTCACCTAGCACCTTTTTAACCCTGGGTCCCATCTGTGTTTCAGTTAGAAATACCACCGCGGTGACCTGGAATCTCTTTAGTCGCTGATTACAGTGAGCCCGGGATCGCAGTGGTCAGCATCTCTGCATTTGGATCTGGTTGTCCCTTACGAGCAGCGTGATCATTGGCAGGTTACTTAACCTCCCAGCCTCAGTGTTCTCAGCTGTAAAATGGCTCTGATAACGGGAACTGCCCACAGAACTAACCCGAGGACAGAATGGAATGATGCCCTTATGGGGCTCAAGACAGTGCCTGGCACACAGTAAAGGATCACTCTTTCCAGCTCCCGTTAGCCCTGCTTATTTCTCGTCCCCCTGCACACCGCGGATTCTACCTCCAGAATCAATGCTCTTGGGTGAATGGCTGCACAGTAAGGTTTGTCCACACGAGCAGTGTGAAGGTATTCCTTAGGAAGCGATGACATCTTCTTGAAAACACCACGATAAACTATAAACTTATTATTGCCAAATTCTCATCAAGAAGTAGGAAATCTAGACTCGGTAGAGATCTTGGGTAAAAAAGGTGAAGATTTTAATAACACCTTACTTTTAGGAGAAACTTGGGACAAATCATCTTTCAGGTTTCAGTTAGCAGTAGTTGCCTTTTCATTGAAAAGCGTGGTTGTCTGATGGCTCAGGATGTCTATTTTGGTTTCATTAGGCACCGTTTTGAAAGGAAAAATGATCCTTTACCTCCATCCATGATATGCAGTGTGCTGCATATTTTCTCTTGGTTAAATTCCGTTTTAGAAGCAGGCAGGTCTTTTTTTTTTATTTTATTCTTTTTTATGTTATGTTAATCATCTCTTTAAAGAGAGAGAAACAGTCTTCTGTGTGTTGTGGGCAAATTTAGATAAAGGCAAAAGTACCTTTTGAAGCAAATAGTGTCTGTGTTTTTGCTAACTGATTTTAGGTAACAAAAAGTTTAGCCCCTCTGGTCCAGCTGAGATCTTTCTAACTACCTCTGACCCTTGACCAAGATGGGTTTGAACTGTGTGGGTCCACTTAGGCGAGGATTTTTTTTTGATAAATACAGCACAGTACTATAAATGTAGTTTCTCTGCCCTCTGCTTTGCTTACATTTTTTTTTTCCTCGAGCTTGCTTTATTGTAGCAATACGGTATAAATACTACATGTAATTTACAGAATATGTTCATCGGCTCTGTTATCAGCAAGGCTTCCAGTCAATAGTAGGTTACTGGTAGTTAAGTTTGGGGGAAGTCATAAGTATGTGGGTTTTCAACTGTGCAGGGGTTGGCGCCCCTGACCCCCACGTTGTTCAAGGATCAGCTGTCATCTGCGTCACTAAACACCCATAGCCTCGAGAAAGCTGGCAGCACATCTTGGGAACCTTGGTGGTGGCACCTTGCCCTTGGAATGTTCTTGGCAGCAGGAACCCTGTCCTATAGGCACAGAAGGCCCAATGCAGCCCGGGTAGAGGACTTGAAGCTTCAGCAGCTCCATTCGGCAAGAGGCCTAGGGACACTGGGCCCATCCATGAGCTGGAGAGAACATCCATTGGGCGGGGGGAGTAGGGGGCGTCGCAGATGGCAGGAGAGAGCTGGGCTCAGAGTCTAAAGACCTGCACTCGAATACTAGTCTGCCGCTTGCCCCCCGCATGGCTTTCGGTAGATCTGCTTCCTCATCCATGAAATGGGGAGAACACCCTTGCCCGGTGTCACAAGGGTGGAAGGAGAGACTTCACATGAGCTCCCCCTCCCAGCCATCAGGGACTGAAGATGCCCGTGTCCGGGCAGCAGTGGCCCGGTGGTGTTTCAGGGGGTGGGGGGTGGACGGCTGCCCCGCCCTAGCCCGCCCCCGACATCCTGTGATGAGAGGAGCCCACCTAGGGCTCAAGGGCACAGTAACTTGAAACACGCCAGTCACAACAGCAGTTTAACATTTTACTAAATCAATTCACACAAATTCCAAATTGCAAATATAATTAAGGACAAAAGATTCTGTTCTGCCTTTTAAATCTTTCATTTTCAAATCCATCATTAAGACAAAAAGTAAACAAAAATTAAGTCTGCTGCAAATTCATGATTTTCCTTCTTGAGGGGGAAAAAAAAAGGAACATTATAGTAAAAAGAACGCCACTGAGTGTACAATAAAGCACCACGACACACGGTTACAAAACAGGCTTCCTGGATTCGGCCACACATAGAAGACACTGCTCTCCCCGCTGTTCTGCGTCAAGCAGGATTTCATTAAAATAAAACTATAAAATCTCCTAGGTTACACTAAAGTCAGACACGGTCTGGAACACAGTGCTTAACAATAGTAATGCCAACTATCAGTGCTAACGTAAAAACATTTTAGAAGGTCAAAAACAATTAAACTGGAAACCAAAACCTTATTTTCCCTAGATGAGCAAAATTGGAAATGAAAGGGTCCCGCCTCCCAACAGGAGTGAAGGGGATTTTTCTTTCTTTCTTTCAAATTGGAGGCGGGGGCACGGTGCAGGCTGGCTCTGTAGTTCCTCAGCCTAGTTGGCGTCCAGCTTGGCCATTTCCTGTACATAGATGCCTATACTCTCGCTGTCAAAAAGCACAAAATACACCGTTTTGATGGAAGAGGACATTGTTGACACGAAGTAACTGGAGATGGCCTTCAGGATCAGCTGAGCTGCCGTCTGTTTTGGAAAACCATTCCTGCAGGACAGAGAAGTGCTCAGCAACCAGAGAGACCACTGCGGCCACCGCCCTGCCCCCCTCCCTCCCTCCCTCCCGGAGGCCCCCAAGGCCGTGTGTAGGGCTTTGCCTCATGTTGCCTCAATGGCCCCTCCCCGGGGGATTCCTATGGCTGCTCATACAAAGGCATGAGAAAGGCCAGCACCTGCCACACCAGGGAACAAGTGGGCAGAGAGCTAGGACGTGGAGAATGTTCTAGGTGCCCTCCGAGAAAGGGGACATGCCCGGTGTTCTGAGAGCAGCCAGCAGACAGGTAGGATCTGCGTTTTAGGCATTAAGTCTCCCAAGGGTAGCTTAGCTGGAGCTCCTAGGTTTCCCCTGCCAGCATCACTGTGACTGGCAAGGGGCTTGACGCACAGCTGTGGGTCTCACTCCCTGGGACAGCTGGAGGCCGGAGCTTCTCCAGGGCGGGGGGTAGGGGGGCTGTTCTTCACGCACACAGGTAGAAAGATTACACCCCTCACGCGGGCCTGAGACTTCACAGGTGCCGGGGCTGCTGGCCCGGACTGCATCCCAGAACACACCAGCTTGCACCATCCAAAGGCCAGGGCCCAGGGGAGCTGCGAGTGCAGGGAACAACTCCTGGCCAAGGGGGCTCTGCATCTTGAGGGACAGCATCCGAGTCTCCAGGACAAATGGCTGGGAATTCACACCTATTTCCACTTAAGATGAATGTCAGGTGGCAATTGCAGCAGGAGTAGGCGCACGGAATTCTCAAGAATCTCAAATGAGGTCTAGAGAGACTGACACCACTTACTCCAAGTGTGCCTGAGGCTGTTACTGGTCAACCCTGCAGGTGCAGGACCCAGGTGACCCGGGACGGTGGCAGGAACAGAGCAGCTTGCCTAGTCTGGCAGAAATAATGTGGGCTTTGGAGCCAATGGCCCTGGATTCAGATCCTTCCCGACTGATACTCGGGTGGGAGTCTGGGGCCCGTTTTCATGGGGATTTCTTTTTTCATCGGCAGGTCTACAGCCTTCGAACTCCCCTGAGCCCGGGCGCCCTGTTGGCAGCCCAAGTGCTGGGCCAACCGGCCCGTGCTGGCTGCACCTCTCCTTCAGATGGGATACCTGCCCCTAGGTGAGAGGTTTTCAAATGCGTAAGGTGCGGGGTCTCTCTTAACCCTCTGAGCCTTCCTCACTCAGTGCCTGGGAGTTTTGAACTACCTTCACTGGCTCCCCTGGCGAGCCACACTTACTCCATTGTTGTCGGGACTCAGCAGCTCAGAGCCACAGCTGAAAACCACTCTGGTGACCCGCTTTGCATCAGACAGGGCTTTGCCCAGCTTGAAGATGGGCCCCTAGTAACTTCTGGATGCTTCGCAAGTGAAGCTCGTTCTTAGCAGACAAGGGATGTCACCCAGGGCATGTGCCCGGCCCGTGCAGAGTGGCCTGTGGGCCACAGTGGGGTGTGAAGGATCCGTCACAGAGGCGGCGCACTCACAGGGCCGCCCGCACACGCGAGCCTGCCCATGCGGAGCCCGACGGAGGCCGAAGGAAGAGCTGCCCAGGCGTACCAGCTAGATTCCTCTGGAGCCCACCCTGGGTGCTGGGTCTACCACCAGAGGAGGAAGCGTGACCAGCAGGCGGGAGTGGATGGAGGGTGGTGGAGACCATGCGTGGAGACAAGTGGGACCCACAAGGCAAGGCATTCCCCTCCCCCACCCGTCCCCTCTCAGATCTGCAAGCTCGTTTGGGGAAGCAGCTGTTCTCGCCACACCTGACAGAGGGACCCTGACAGTCTTCACAGGACAGGCTGTCCGGAACAAGGCACGTGATGGCAAGTGCTGGAGGACATAAACTTGATCTTCCATTTTGTGGGGGGGGGGCGGGGGGAAGGCCTCTGCAGTGAGGATGTTGCCAGGACCATGTGTAGCCGTGAGTGTTGTGGGGAGTCCAGCTCACACCCACGGTGGGTGCATGGGGGCATAGGGGCTGCCCTTCACCCAGTCCCACTCCTGAGAGTGGGACCAGGGCCAGATTTTATGCAGATACAGGGTCATGGGGTCACTGGAATAAGGGCCCCTTTTGAGTGTCCCACAAAGAGCAAAGATTTATTTTCCTGCTCTAAGTTCAGCTGCGGCCCAAAGGGGCTGCCAGATCACAGCCCCTCATTTCATCTCTAGTGAGAAAAGCCTGGGGAGGAGGCAGCCAGTGGCCCGATCTGCAGGACCAGGGAGCTCGTGGAAGCTGCAGCAGGACAGGAAGTAGCTGGGGCTCCAGCCAAGGGAACGCCGAGGGCTTCTGGACCACGCAGAGCTTCGTGTGTGCACGTGGCCTGGCTGGTGGGGGCTGGGCGGGGCCGCGAGGGGTCGATCTCAGCCCTGGAAGCCCAGCTCCCCACAGCGCGGGCGCCCTTCCGTCCGTGTCTGCGTCACACCTGCAGGGTGAGCTGGCCTCAGGTGAGGGCCTGTAGAATTTCCCTGCAGTCTGTCGAGCAGCCGGATGGTCGCCGCCCACCTCCTCCTGCACCTGCACCGCCGCCTGGCCCAGGGGCCCGGCTTTGTTGACTGCCCTCACCCGCAGTACGGTGGCTGCATCCGAGCTGGGGGACAGGTGGTGCCGTGCAGACACTCTGGCCCCTCTGCCCTTGCTGACCAAGAGCCACGCCTGTCACCGCTGCCGGACTCCAGCACTTGGTGACACAGACCTCCCCCTCTAGCCTTCCATGCCCTCCGCTTCGGACTCCTGAGAAGGGGTGTGTGATGGTCCGTGAGGGGAGGTTCTTTCCCGTCCCTCTACGTCAGCCGTTCTCAGTTTTCTCTCTGTCCACATGCAGGGTGCTGGGCTCCACCAGGCGAGTCCGATTCAGCAGGTCGAGGGAACACCTTCTGAGAACACCACTGTTCTCATGGAGCCAGCATGGACTTTCTAATCTGAGCTCACACGGTGGGCCCCACGGTTAAGAACCTGTAAGTGGGGGAGAGAGGCGGGGGTCCGAGGTGTCAGGCCTGCAGTATCCGAACCTTGTGGGCTCCACGACTGATGGAGCAAGGGCTGGTGTCCTCTTTGAAGCTCACTGCTGGGCATGAATGAGTCTCACTTGTTTCCAGCAACGCCTCCCGTTAACAAGCCCATCCCTCTGTCCTGGGCAACCACGGCCTCCAGAACGCCAGCCACGGGGCTGTGGCCACTCCGGACCGCACAGGCCGCCGGGAAGGACTGGGGAAGGTACAAGCTTTCCTTATGTTGTCAGGGCTTCGGAGTGGATTCGCAAAGCCGCAGTTCCGAGTGTCTGTAGCAAAATGGAACCGTGTCCTCACGTCAGGGGTGGTTGAGGCGCACGCAGTGGCCTGGGCGGAGCAGCAGGGCCTTTCGGGGCTCAGGCCGTGGAGCCACACAGGGTGTGAGTCCAGGCCCTGTCTCTGTGGTTTGCTGCCCATCCGGGAAAGTGGGGTGGGGAGTCCAACGCACCTACTGTGCCAGGAGGCTGGGAGTGGTGAGCAGGATCCAGCGCCCCCATCAGTCACGGTATCTATCCAGCAGGGAGTCTTGCAGGGACTTCGAAAAGGCTCACGTGGTGGGAAACTGCCTTCCTCCCAGGCCCCGTGACCGTGCTGGCCTCTGCACCTTCCCTGGGCTGACCGTGCGGGCTCAGGCCCCCGGAAAGCTGCTGGCCGGTCTGCGATGCCTAGTCGTTCTGGAGGGCTGTCAGCCACTCCTGCCGGCACGCAGAGTGTGGCAGGGAGACGCGGGGGCCCCGGTGCGGCATGGGCCAGCTCCAGGAGCACCAATGGCCTGTGGGGTCTTGCTCCTCTCCCGGCTTCCTGGCTGCTTGGGTCCCCTGCTGGTTGCTTCGCTGCAGCTGCCCTGAATGGCCCTCCCTGCTTGGCCAAGTCTTTGGGCCCTCCTCCCCCAGCTCTGGCCTGTTGCCCCTGTGACTGTCACTTCGTCCATCTTCTGAAGACTGGAGACCCCCCCCCCGCCCCCCAAGACACAACAGAGCAAGAGGGGGTTGAATCCCAGCTGCCCTGGGGCAGGGGCGTTAGCCTCTCCAAGCATTAGAGGTATTTCAAGGGTACACGGGGCGGTGATGCCAAGGATGCTGCTGCCCCCCAAGAGGTGGGTGTCCCTCCTCTCCCCCCTTGGGCGCTGTGGGGCCTGTTAGGGGCTGTGGGTCCAGCCTGTGCCTTAAGTTTCTCTGCAGCCAGTGTCTTCGACTTCGAGCAGACTAAGGAGATGTCTGAGCTTCCCCTGAAGTCATTCCAGTTGTCTGGGACAGCCCTTCCCAAGTGCCTTGGGCCTCAGCTCCCCTAAATGGGTGCCAGGGGACCACGGGAGATTTCTTGATCTGGTGCCCTTTGGGTCAGCCTGGTCAGGGGGCTCCATATTGGTTGTCTTTCCATTCTACCTGGATGGCAGGGGTTCTGGGCTCACCAGGGCCACATCAGAGAAGAGGGTTCCTCCAGCACTGCTGAGCCCCCACCTTGGATGGGGCATCGCCAAGCATCCCTGTCATCAGGGAGCTCCTCTGTGGGGCTGGCAGGCACACAGGAAGGACTCTAGCCAAGGGGCGGTGTTGAACAGGCTGATGAGGGACCGTGGAGAATCCTGTGGGGAGAGGCTATGTCCTGGGAGATGGAAAAGTGCAGGCAGACTTTCTGGAGGAGACAGTCTGGGAGCTTGCCTTGGAAGGCAGGGTAGGATTAAAGGTGGATTCTAGATGGACTCAGGTTTCCATGCTAGACCGGTCCACCTGTATAACTGTCTTGGCGGTCTTCGAGAGGGTAGGGCTGGAGGGCACGGAAGGTTGGGTGATGCTGGGAAAGTGTGCCCCCGGGTGGTCACTTTGCTGCTAGGATTAGGTCTCCCTCACACTGTGCTACTGGGCCTTTCCACTTTGCCATGTTCTGTGTGGCTTTGCGTAACTGCCTGTGTCAAGCTGCCCCACCTGAAGGCCACTCTCTCCAGAGGTTAAGAGTGGGCCATCAGGGGAGAGCAGTGGCTCTAGTTCTGGACGGCATGGGGACGGGCCAGGGAGCCCACTGTGGCCTGTTGCTTCTCTCACTCCACGGTGTTTAGGCTAGTAATTCTCCCCATTCCGTTTAGTTCCGTCCGATTTCTCTTCTAAGGCCCGTTCCCAGGGTGGAGGGAGGCTGAGGCTGAGGTCAGGGAATTCCAAGGTGGGGTTTCCAAGGTTCCCTAAAATCCACTCTTGTAGAGAGTGCTCAAGCAGTGGGGCGATCATCTGCTGGAGGGCAAAAGGGGTCTGTTGACCAATGGGGACAGAAGGAAGGGGTTCCATGTGCCTCATTGGACTTCCCCGCAAATTCTGGCTCTACCCAGTCCAAGCTGTGGCACCTCAGGTGAGTGAGTTAACCCCTCTCAGCTTCCGTATTTTTTGGTTTGTTTTTTTGTTTGTTTTTACTTTGAGTAGAATTAATGCCAGTGGGGCAATAATGCCGACCGGGGGCGCTTAGCATAGTACCTGGGACTCAAGCAATACCCCTAAATGGTAGCTTGAAAAAAAAAACTGGCGGTTCTTTTAAGCTCATAAATCTAAGCAGAGTTTAATCAAAGCCCCAAAGTACCTATTCCCTTTATACTACCCCTCCAGAGACGGGTCGCCCCCGAATGTCAAACAGAGCTGACAGAGTGGGGGTATCCATAAATATTGTGACCGCAGTGCCCACGGACAGGATGTCCAGATGACAGAGGCGGCTTCCCCGAGGCCAGCCTTGGCCTCCAGTGGGCTCGACGGTTGGCTGTGGGGCCAGTGGGCTGGAAGGAGGGAGCGCACAGCTGCAGTCATCCTCCACAGGCTGGGCCTTGGCGGAGAGAAAGTGTTCCCACTGCTCTTTGCCAACATGTTTGCATTTATACTGTTTTAATTCCAACGGGACTTTTATGCCGGAGACACTGGATGCCACAAACAAGCTGTTTTATTTCCCCTCCTAAAACCCACTGTGATTTACGGGCCGGCTCTGGTGTAATCCCAATCTCTGCTCATGAAAGACAGGGCGGCTGTCTACACTGCTCCGTGGGGCCAGGTCTGCCCGACAGATGTGGGGCTGGGGGCTGAGCACACGTGCTTGCCTTTGGCATTCTGCCCTCTTAAAAGCTTTCCATTGATTGTTTTTAAAAAACTTTTTACTCTGTGAAAACCGTAGAGAATTACTTTTATGCTTCAATTAAAAGTTTCCCGATACCCATATGAAAGAATATGAAATTGTTGCCTCCAGTAAAGGCTCCTATTGCTTCTTTCTTCAGAAGCACCTTTCATCAGAGGAGATCAAAGTGCATCCGAAGCACTAATTGAGCCTCGGAGCCATCTGTGCGGAAGGGCCGTCCCCAGAGCCCTGCTCCCTGATAAGGCAGGCCAGGGTCAGAGAAGCTAACTCATTTAGCCAAGGTCACACAGCAGCGCAGTGCCGAAGAACAGACTGACTTTTTATGGGAGGTGGGAGAAGCAGGAAGCTGGCTACTTACACTCTAGTTCACAAGCACTTTGTCAAAAACAGTTTTGCATGGTCTCTGGCACCTATTACTCATCTCCCTGGTTCTGGGGAACGTTCAAGCTGCGGGGTGCTTGCTGACCCCTTGGGATGCTCGCTTCTGGCTCTGCCACGTGCTCTGACCGCCCACCGAGGGGCTTCCAATGCTCTATCTCCCTTAGCTTTTAAGAGGCATTTAAAAGTGTTTTACAGTCACGTTCAACATAGGCTTTTGGCAAAGGAGAAGAGAAAGAAAAAGCGTAGTGATTTCAAGCGTAAGCAACTCTCCAACAAGTGGGTCATCACATAGCTCTGGACATCCCTGACTGACTTCGGCGGTAGAATGGCACTCTGCGTCCGCAGGGCGGGGAGCTGGCGGGAGCTTTCGCTTCTCCCCTGCGGGTTCCTCTCCCCCCACACATACTGTGGGGACACGGCGGCTTGGGTGCTTCAGCTTCTTTTTGCTAGTAAGCCCGAGGACGCAGCGCACTGCACTAGCACAGAGGACGGAGGGCCCTTCACTTCAGGTAGGACCTGGTACCGGATACCAGGGCTGCTCGGAACTCCAGGACCAGGGAGGGGGAGGGGAGGCCCGCGCAGCCCGGGAGGGCCTGCGGCTGCTGGAGGTGGGCAGGGACGGAGGCGCTAGCCACAGCTCTTCTCCCATATCCGTCCTTGGGTAAGTCCTGCCAGCCCTTCGCGGCAGCTGTGCGCTCCAGGAGGCCCTGGGGCACAGGGCCGGCGCCTGTCTGCCTAGGGGCAAGGCCTTCCAGGCGCAGTGTCCCAGGCTGAGGAGACAGGACGCCTGCCCAGGGCTAGCTAGCTCTGTCACTGGAGGGGTGGAACCTCGGGGACGGCAGCGTTCGGGATGACGGCACCATTACCAAGCTTGCCCAAGATGGAAATAGCACACTCCACTCTCTGTCCTCCTCATGGGTTGGGAAGACGAGTGCTTTGAAAAGAGGAGCTTTCTAGAAAGGCAAGAAAGGGGTTTGAGGATCCATACTCCGGCTCAGCCGGCACAGCCTGCGGGCTCCAGGGAAGTTGGTGTGGTGTCGTCACACAGCCCTGTTGTCCTGGGGCACCGGGAGGGGCTGACGGCGGAGACCCAGGGACGTGCACAGTCCGGATGGGATGCCCCAGGTGCCGCCACGGCGAAGACAGAGCCCGGGGTTGTGGCCTCTGTCGGGCCCAAGATGTCCACACTGCAGCCTCTGAAGGCCCGTTTCGCTTGGCTTTGGTGCCCAACCCAGACAGCAAGCCTTCTGGGACGACCCCGGGATGGGATGGGCGGGGGGCACGGCCTCTTCAGCATGCCGTGGAGCTCCCAAAGCCCTCTCCCTTCTCAGAGCTCCTTTAATTTCTGTAGTGCACACCCAGAGCCTACCGTGGATAGTTCAGGGCTGGGGGGTAGGCTGGGCCCAGCCCTGTTTCACGGTTCCTTAAGTGCCCACTCAGGCCCACCCCTCCTGAGCTCGACCGCGGGACAGGGAGACAGAGGCGGAGCGCGCAGGTTTCGGGGAGGGCAAGGACGCTGGGGAGAGGCAGAGAATGGTGTGGTTGGGGGAGGGTGCTCTCGTCACAAGCAGCCCAGCCTCCACACCTGCCCTGTCCTCTCCGCCCACCCCACATGTTTTAGTGTCCTGCAAGGCTCACTCTCTCAGCCACCCTCTCTGATGGTCCCAGTACACCCTGAGGCCCCTTCCCGTGCTGACATTTGCTGTCACGCCGGAAATTTCTATTGGCCTCAGGCTTCCTGTCTCACTGTGTCCCTTCAATTGCTGTTTACCATTGCTTCATGTTTGTATTACTCCCTACCTTCTCAACGCAGCAGGTGGCCTGAGGACAGCCTCAGCGGACCTCGTACCAGCCAGAGCTCCATGATTATGGGCCACATATGCAGATCGGTATATCCAGTAATGACGTCACAAGCCGTGTGTCCTTACCTGCCACTGCCAATGGATGGGAACGCGATGGACTTGAGCTTCTTATCGTCGGCCAGGGCCAAGCAGTTCTTCACTGTCTTTTCCAGAAGTTCCTCACACTTGTCTGCACCCCAGACCGGACTGTTACAGTGGATCACAAACTTGGCAGGCAGGCCGTGGCCCGCGCTGACAGCAGCTGGAGGGGACGAGACAGAAACAGTGAGTTCTGTTCCTCTGCGAGGCACACGGCATCAGATGCCCCACACAGACGCCTCCGGGGGGCTGCTCCCCAGCTAGTCTTCTTCGGGGAGACACTGGGCCAAGGCCCACCCTTGGAAAGTTGGCATTAGGATGCATCACCACCAGGAATGTTAGCCAAGAGGACAGTGAGCTCTCTCTGTACCCTTCCAGAGGCAGAGCCTGAACCACCTCACTTGACCGAGTATGTCACAATGCTGGTAGCCTCAAGTTTGCCTTTTGGGGACTCCAAGCCCCATTCCTCCAGTGGACTCAAGTACAGATAATGAGGACATATCTATAAATCCGCCCCCCCGCCCCGGCACAGTTCAGATAGGTTTACTATCAGGAAAGCAGCTCCGTTTCCTGAACCGCTAAGTAACATGACTGATATAGTTCCGGTGTCCTTCTCCCTCCCCGATCCCCCTTGGTGTGGATAGAATTAAACTTCTTTCCACGACGCTACTGTTCTCTGGTCCTGAAAGAGCTGCTTTGTCTAACTCTCCATGTCCACCCCACAGCCAGCTTCCGCCCTCAGGCTCTGCCCCTCATCAGATCCAAAGAGCCTGGCCTCCAATGTGCTGCCCCCAGCAAGGGTGACACGTCAGTGCGGGGTCTCCCAGAGCAGGTTCTGCGACCCCTGTCCCCCAAGATGCACTGCAGAGCGGGAGGCTGTGGGTCCACGGGTGTGGTGAGTGCCGCCTGCTCTGCTGCTGCACGAGAGCCCCTGAGGTCTCCACACCACCGCTGTCGTTTGACTGTGTGCTGAGCCTGTCTGCTGAGGGCCAACCGTCCTCAGGGGCAGGGCTGTCAAGGCTGTGACACCAGTAGAGACGGGGAGAGCGTGATTTGTGGGCGGTTTCTCACGGGGCGGTAGCCACAGCTCTGAGCCAAGACACGGCTCTGAGTTTGAGTCTTGGCTCTGCTCCCTAACTGGAGAACTCTGGGATGAAGTGCTGACCTCTGGCAGCGGGAGACGGGGGGGTTTACGCACTGGCCATGGGAGCAGTCACGGCCAAATGACACATGGGGAAAGACTGGAAAGAAACATCCTAACAGGGATCATCTCCGGACAGTGGAGCAGGGCTGTGTTTCATACAACCTTTCTGAAGTATTTTAAAACATCTTGTAAAACAGATGCTAATATCAAGAACAAAATGAGTGAATAAAACAGGCAAACGTGTCTTCAGCCATGCTAAATGTAAGGGGTTTGCCTCGGCTGTGGCTCAGGTGTCACCAGCTGACTTGAGTGCGTGGTAGCACCAGGACTGCCTCTCGTCACAGCTCCGAGGGTCGCCCAAAGGAAGGACCTCTGGGCTGGCACAGAGAGGGGCCAGGAAGGGACTGAGAAGAGGCCAGGAGCCCCTGGGTGGCTAATTAATAATGCAGGGTCCTCCCTTGTTCCATATGGGACTTCGGTGGCAATACTCAGAAGGGCTTGGCAACGCCCTGTACCCTGATGCCATACCCCTCTGACCACCTCAGTTTCAAAATCCAGGCCAGCAGCGGAAGAAGGACCTGCCTCTAGCTCTTAGCAATCTTTCTCCCTACATCAGATTCCAAGTCATTTTCTTACCCCCTGGTATCAGGAAAGGTGTGACTGGCAAATGAAGAATGTCTACTTCTATTTTTCCCATTAAAAACACGATGGCTGAATGAAAAGGGTTCATTTGCATGTTTCCCCAGCACTTCTGCAGATGGCTTAGTATTACTATTGACAAGCCTCGACTCTTAGCTTTGCCAAACCCGGCTGCTGTAATTCCTTAAAATGAGAGGTCTAGAAATCAAACATTCAAAAGCTCTTTTGAGCAATAAAGAAAAAAAGTGGAAGGGCAGTTTGCACAACCCTTAAGCTCCCCCTGACAACTTGCATGTGGTTAAGTCCACGTCATAAGGCTGACAGGCTTCCCTGTGGCTCTAGCTCGGACACAGGTGTGCATGGCCACGCACCTCTCAACTCCCAAGATGCCTCACGACCCGGTTCTCCTGATGCCACACAAGGCACGCCGTTCCCCAGCTCACCTCCAGCGACTTCCAAGGGTCCGTTCTTTTTTCGGAGCTCCAGAACAGCTTCCACAAACTCCTTGCCACCTTTCTTCTCCAGCGTGTTTCCTAGACAAGGACACGGTGAGGTCAGACGGCCACTCTTGCATCTCGGGGCACAGACAGACACTTAGCATGTCAGGTGATTACAGACTTCCAATGATCTGACCAGCTAAATTTCCATACGGCTGCAAAACACGAACTAAGCCTTGGTTAAGTCATCTAAGTGACATTTAGAAAGGATCCAACTGGCCAATTGCCACCGAGCAGTCTTTGCTGTCCCACATTTGGGGGTGACTCGGAGTAATCCGAGATAGGCCAGAGATGTGAGGGACATGGGACACACCTGTTGCTTGCAAGCATGCCTGACCTGCATGCTTTTCATTGCTGTGAGAAACCAGGTGGTGTTGGCTTCAGAGGCTTAGGCCTCCCCTAGACTTTCTTCTCTGTCTCTGGAGAGAACCCCTGAGTAAGGAGGCTGTAGGGGAAGCATACCATGCTCCCATTAGGGAGCCAGGTCCGCTCTTGGCAGCAGGCCCAGAAGAAGCATCCAAATTTGGCCACCTCTGGACCAGCGTTATTACCATGCTTCGTTCCTATTTTGCAGCTTTGGCGTCATATGTGAATACAAAAAAAAAAAAAAAAAAAGGGGCCTCAGACAGTATTTCCTTCATCACACTAATGACTCAGAATCACTTTAGGTAAAGGAAGGCAACATCAGAAGCAGAGCTTAAAGGCGAGCTTGTACCGCATGAAAGGAAGGTGACTGCCTGTTCGGGGCCAGATCTTCAAGATTAAATCCAGTGGAGGTAGGCAGCCCCTTTTCTTGAGGGAGGGGTCCTGCTGAGTGGTCAGTTCCTGCCGTGAAAGCCGAGTGCCCACACGAGATGACCAGCCTCCATGTCACGCGCTGCTTACAGGGCCCGCGTGGCACAGCCAACCGCGTTCAAAACCAGTGACGTCTTCATCCTCCCAGGTTTGGCCAAAATGGGGTCTCAGTCTTCCTTAAGCTCTGATTCATCAGTTTTGCACATTTTAAAGTACTTTTCCTCACAAGAGGATAAAATACTCCCCTTAAGATTCACCGTTCATCTTGGAAAATCCTAAGCTGCACCTGGCACATTGCGGTATGTGTCAGTCAGGGCGCATCGGAGTGCACCGGCCCAAATTCTCTTTGGATTATTCACGGTTTTGTGACTAGGTCTGTTTATCTTAGAGGAACCTGGCCGACTGGCTCTGGAGGAGCGAACTAACCCCGGGAAGTATCGGGAAGGAAGCACACACAGCCCGGGCACGGTCACCCATCAGCACCAGGGTGAACCGCAGGCACTGACTGGCAGCAAGTCTGGGGTGCATGAATGCACGTGGCCAGCAGGCCGTCACCCAGGGGGAGCCCTCAGATGTCTGAGAGAAGGCCCAGCTTTTTGGGGAGGGATTAGCATGGGATGCTTTGGAAGGGAAGCCAACATCCCCCATTAGCCGAGACTCTATACCCTCACGCCTTCGCCCGTGTTGGAAAGCAGTCACGGGCGCTTTAAATGGCACAGCCATCAGGAGGGGAAAAATACGTCCCCTCCAGAGACTTCTAACCACTGTGGCATCTGCTGCACATTCCTGACAAAGGCCAGCATCACAGAGGGTGGCTGAGTGGGCGTGAGGGAGCAGGGTCAGGGCCCATGGCCACCTCCACGCTGCAGGAAGTGCAGACTTGAAGGAGACGACCCAGGGGAGTGAGGCCCAGTTACGGGTTCACTCGGGAGATCATGCCACTGAGGAAAATGAACCTTTAAGTCTGAATCTGCTGGGTCCCAAACACTGCTGTCCACCACGCCTGGCCTGGCCTTCCCTGCTGACGGGTTCTCAAGCTCCAGGGAGGGAAACAAGTCTGCTCTACGCAGAGCTATGTTAGGTCTGCATTCTCTATCAGACATGCTCTTTGGGGGCAAACTGAGAAATTTGGAAGGCAAAATAAAATCAGTACTGTATTAATACTGCCAACTCCTTTCTAAAGCATACGGTATTAAGAAAATGGGCTGATGTAGCATTAAAGGTGTTTCATCTTAGGAAGAGTGTTTACTTTAAAATTTTTACTTGTAATTAAATCTTGCTTTAATTAGAAGTGAAACTTGCAAGTTAAAATACACTCAATGCATTTCCCAAACTTAAAAATTGAACCCTAGGTTGCAGGCAATCACCGCGATCAGGACGGGACCCCTACACACACATATGTATGCACATGTTCATGTAGACACACGTGTACTTTGTAACAAGAAACAGGCCCATTTCAACTGTATTGTCAACACTCATCATGGAAGACTCTTGCTTTTTAGGCTCCACTTCAGGGTTAATCGTAAAGCAATTGGCTTCTTTGCCCCCAAGCATAAACATGTGTTACTCCCATGAGAACAAGAACATTATTTCATGCTTAGAAAGCAGGCATAAGTATCAGTGTTCAAAACAGCCTAAGCGAAAATTTAGGCTTGGACAAATGTCAGGCTAAGCCTGTGGTCTATTTCACTGTTAGAAAGAACTGTGATGGGAAAGAGTTAATCACGGGGCTAAGCATTCCTGCACTGGCATTCCTTCTTCCAGCAGTCTCGGGGTCTCAGGAATTTCACACCCAGTGGGAGAAATGTCCTAGCTTCCTCTTTTCCCCTCTCACACATCCAAGTGGGAGCTAGCACCAATTGAGACCACGAAGGAATCTGGTTTGTCATTGTTTTTGGAAAATGTAAAAGATAAAGGTGGGTTCACTACTAGTCTGGGCTGGTTTACTGAGAAAAAGCACTGAGGTGAGCTTTGGAAGACCTGGGTTCCAGCACAGTCATTTGGGGTCCTCCTCGGCCAGTAAAGCTGTCTAGACCGGCTGAGGTTCTTTTCCAGCTGTGACAGTGTCTGTGAGTGATGTGACACGTGACCTTGAGCAAGCTCTCGGAGCCAGGTGACAGCGAGGTCACCGAGGCTAATCGTGCCTCCCCTGTACATCTCAGTGGGGGGGGGAGGGGGCGGGGTGAGGGCAAGCACATCACAGGGCAAAGGATTAGCACTGTCACGATTCCCAGGAGACCAGTTGTGATCATGGTTCTGGAAGGACTAGGTTGTTACCCCAAAACTCGCTCCTGCCCCATCTCAGAGCCTCCAGCTCTACCTTTTGCCCTGGGAGCTTGCTCATTTCCATTTCATCCCAAGTCCTGGATGGCAGGGTGAACCCAGGCCTTAGTCACTCCTGGCAGAAAGATAAGCCCTTTGCCGATCTGTTTATTTTCCTCCAAATAAGTACTTCCCTCCCATCAAGTTTTCATTTGGTTAAGAAAGGGAGTATCTTTCTCTTAAGCTGCCTGACTTAGGAGCTCTTAAACTCCTCCAAGATCTTGTGAAAGTGGAGTTTATTTTAATTGCCTACAGCCTGATTTCATTTTGGCCAGGACGCCTTAGCGAGTCCCAACTTCCCAGCCAGTGGCCAGTGTGTCTTTTCCATCCACGTCTGAGATCCAAAATGCCCAGGAAGGCAACCAGCCCAAATCGCGGTGGCTAGGGCAGACTTTGCTAGTGACACTAAACAGAGCTGGACAGCCTCAGATGGCTACACTGTTTGTACTTCCAGTGTCTGGGACACTCGGGAAAATCCCGGGAGCCTCAGCCTCCAGGCTGACTTCACTTTTGCCCTTTATTAGAAAGGGCACTGCGTTAGGAAGTGGTGTTCAAATCTACAGCCAGCGTGCTGCTCTCGGGACAGGCACACCTACTGGTAAAACCCTAGTTGCACATGAGGGCGAGACCAGGCAGGAAGCACCCATCATGGGGCAGGCACAAAACAAGGTGCTTTGCTTATAAGAACGTCATTCTCATCATGATCACTCTTTCATCGATAGGGAAACCGAGGCACTGAGGAGTTAAGTCACTTGCCCAGCCCTCATAACCGGTAAACGGCAAGGCTGGGATTCAAGCCCCTGCCACCTAGCTCTAACCCTGTGCCTTTTTGCCAAAACATCCGGACCGGCCCCCTGGTCACGGAAGCCCGGCAGCACATTCTTCAAGCAGGGCACTCCCCGCCATTCATGCACATCTGCAGCTGCAGTGTGGGCTCGCAGCCTGACCCTGTGTCTCCCCCACCCCGCCCTCTGCTGGTGAGCGCCACAAGCCAAGTGAACAGGAAGGGGCTTTCTGGGTCTAGGATCGTCTAGGGATCCCACACCAGAATGAGATGACTTTTGTGCAGCTAAGGTCTGAGAAGCCCAGTGTGTTCTCAACATGCTCCTGAGGCTTTAAGGCCACCTTCAGGGAAGGGTGCTTCTGACACCGAAGTGGGGGTGGGGGCGGGGGGCGGGGGAGCAGAGACCTGTGCCCGGGCATCCCTGTGTGTCTGGTCCACAGACAGCACCGAAGTGGTCTTGGAAGCCACTCGGCCCACCTGGCTGCATCCCCCTCGCAGCTGTAATCGAGGGTGAACCCAGTCTCCAACAAAGCTGTGCCTCGTGAAGCAAATGCCGAAATGATGTTGCTGAACCAGTTCCCAAACCAGAAGTGTGCCCCACCTGGGAGCTGCGTGATGCACCCTGGCTGACAACTAGCTGTGGTTTCTCGTGTTCACAGCCCAGGGACGGGAGACCTTGAGAAGGTCAGGACAGCTGGAAGTGTGAAATGAATGCAGCCCTGCATTAGCTGTCAAAGGATCAAGCTGTCTGCGGCGGCCGACTGACCATGCACACACACACTCGGCAGCACCCGGCTAGGCATTACCTACTTCACCACCGGTGTAGAAGTCAGTGTTTGTCGGGTGAACGACAGCATCACTGTCGATCGAGGCAATGTCAGCCTGTACAACTTGCAACTATAACAGGTAAACAAATGTATATCAACTGTGTTGGACCGAGACCCACGCACAGGCACATTTACTAATGCCCAATGGCAGGGCTGGCCTACCTGGTCGATTCCAACATATGAGCCCAAGGGGCAATCAGTCCACGAAGTGTGCGCACATGTGGATGGGGGTGAGGCGGAGGAGGAGGAGGAGGAGGAGGAGGAATATCAAATGTGACATGTTTAAATTAAACATTTGAATGACATGTCCAAAAAAAGAGAAACACACACATGAGATCATTTCCAAAGATTAAAAGAAATAACAAAACAACGAAAGCCCCATTTCACTTCGCAAAAGCCTACAAAACTGGTACCCCGCTGAGAAGACTACTAAAAACATGGCATCTGTTTTAAAAAAAAAAAAGTGGACTATCAGGCCAACCACAACGACAAGTTTCTCCATTTTGTCGGCCGAAGCTTTCAGGGCTGCAGTTTTAGTCTTGGGACACGCATCGTTTTGTCTGCGAGGGACATCTCTTGAACACCCAAGAAAACAGTATGTGTGCATAGAGAGCTGCCTTTATCGTCCCCTTCAACGTGCACAAATATTTTTCCAGGTCTGCCATTTATTCGAGTCCATCTTATTTTCATGTATTTTACATATAAAATGTACTTTGGATACGATCCCTGCTTTTTCTAGCTTGTGGCTTTTTTTTTTTTTTTTTTTACAGAAAATATCTGTACAAAGAAAGTATATGGATGGAAAATGAGTTTGGGCAGGGCATTCTTGAGTCCCGTTCCCTTGTTTCCAGCCCACAATTATACCTAGTTTGTGCGGGTTGGGCCCAGGCTCTAGAATGATGAAGGAAAGGCTTTTAAAACATACCTAGGTCAGCATCAGGCAGGAGGCTGCCCCAGTGGGCATCTGCTCATCTGCTGCCCCTGGCAGGGCTCACAGCTAAGTGGACAGGAGCCTCCACTGAGTCCCTGGGCTGACAGTTCCTCTGTGCAAACATCAAGCCACAGACTGGGACACCTGAGGGGTACATCTTCGCTTGCCCTGAGCCATGGAAACACCATGGCTCTGGGGCAGAGTTTTCCTCTGTAGGAACTCACTCAGACAGAGATGTTGCCCTTCTGTTTAGTATCATCCTCTAATAATCAAATAATTCATAAAGTTGGCATGCAGTCATATACTGTTTTCGGTTGTAGAAAAAACTGAGTAGGTGGTAAATTTGGGGGAAACCAATTTGCTGGTGGATTCAAGACAACAATATACGGATGCAGTTTGTCTTTTCAAGTGCGTTCAAGCTTTGTCATTTCTAATTAAGGCTTAAATGGAGAAACTATCATTTTGTAGCAACCTGAGATTTTTCAGTTCTAAAAGAAAACAAACACATTTTTTAAAAATCCCTCCCAAGTAACCAGCAGTCAGTATGATCACTATGGAAGAGAATTTAGATGGCAATATATTGACAATCAAGGGGAAAGTAGCCAATTGCACTTAATGAAACGTCATCAGACATTTCCATTTGAAATGGCTCGGAGTGAGTAAACATTCAGGGTTTACCCTCGAATGTCCATCTTGGATTTGGGAATTTGGCTTGCCCACCTGAAGTTTGAGAGAAGATGAGGAGCCTAAATTCTGGGTTCCATAACTTTTCATCTGACAGCTGGCGGTGCCAAACCCCATCCCCAATTACCTAGGTCATCTTTAAGGTCAATGTCAGCATTGGTAGGATTGATTATGGCCTCCACCTCAAAGCCGGCTAAATTACTGATTTCACTGTGAATAAGGTTCAGCTGAAAAGAAAAGCATGAGGTGGGAAATAACAGGACAGCCGGGAAGTCACAGAGAAGTGAGCCTTGGGATACAGATGAAGGGCAGTGGACACTCCAGGTGCACTGGGCACACAGGGGAATGGGGAGTCGCTGGCTAAAATGAATCCGTCTCAAACAAGATTCGGGTGCTGCTCAGGATGCTGGAAGGAAGCAAGCTAGGCTGAGGGTCCAGGACCTGCTGGGTGAAGCTTGGGGCAAAAGGGAGGCATAAGCCATGTGGACCGGCGGATCCACTCCCCTTTGAAGAAACGAAGTACAGCTGCTAGCAGGACCCAGAATCAAGAGTACTCACCGCCGGGGTGCGGGCGGTATATGTGACCTCCTCTTTGAGCCCCGGGATGGTACACAAGTCCTAGCTGGTTTGGGAAAGCCCTAGTAGCTCTGCTCTTCTCCTCCAAGGGGCCATGGGTCTTTAAGGCTGTTCCCCTCACCCTGACTCCTGGCCGGCTGGCTCCGCTGCCCTGCCCAGAGGGGGCCAAGAGCGAGGTAGTCTGTTGCTTAGAGACATCTAATTTTGCATGCCTATTAGTCATGTGACGCTGAAGTTCTGGTGAGAGCCAGGGAGAGAAAGAGCAGTTCTCGAGCGCGACGGTGTCTCCTCAAGTGTTACACTTTGTTGGGGCCCCACTGGGTCTAGGATGTCCCCCAGTTTCACGAGCATGAAACCAACTGGCTCTTTCTGAAGAGCCACTGAATGTGCTCCCTCCTCACAGTTATCCCATTGCTATGGCAACCCTCTGGCTGAGAGGAGCCCTGAATTCTAGATTCGGCTGTCAGAGGGGTAAGAAGAATTAGCTGGCCCAGTACTACTGTCCCGGGTCCTACCCTTGTTCCCTTCCTGTTCTTAGGTACAAATGCCTGCAGCAAAGTGCTCGCCTGCGCTCTCTCTCTCTCTCTCTCTCTCTCTAAGATGCTTATCCTTCAGTGACATGAATTCCTAACAGCTGCAGCAAAGAGCAATGCCCAAGCAGACCCCAGAGGAGCTGGCGCCTGGGACCAACTGCGATGGAGGCTGGAAGAGTTGCCTGCAGCCGCAGGGCCCAGCAGGGCAGGAGCCTTTGTCCAGGTGCGCACTCGGACGAGAAGGCCGTGTGCAGACACTTGGCAGGGAGGCCCTTGGCAACTTGGCTCCAAGGCACTGAATTTTTGGGGCCAAATGTTTCATTGAAAACAAAACCAAACAGAAAACCTGACACTCTATAAGCACCAGAAATATAAACCCACATTTCTCATTCCCAGAAGCACTCAGCAGATTCTCAAAAAAATGGACCCGCTTAAACCAAAACTCATCCTCTGTGAGAAAGCACTTGGGGAAATGAATCTGGTCATACGCTGGGCTGGGGAAAGACTTCGCCAGGCCCTGCCACAGGGCAGTGGCTCCATTTCTAGTTAGAGCTGGAAGGTGGGAGAGGAAGAAGTTTTCTCCACGGGGACTTCCTGGGGTCTGGTTCCCAGCACTGCAGGGTGGTTTAGGGGCCACCAACATCCCTGAAGCTGGAGGAAGCCCACTGGGGGGGAACCTCACACAGTGGAGCTTTTGGCACTGCAGGCTCTGGGGCAGGGGCAGAGGCAGAGAAGAGACCAGCATCAGGGTGAGGGCGCTAAGTGCTGCATTCAGGGAGAAGGGGTGTGGCTGGGTGCAGCCTGAGGGGGGAGGGGGCGCTCCAGGAAGGCAAGTGAATGGTCAGGATTCAGGACAAGGTAAAGGGTTTGATTATGATATCATGTAAGTATTGCATCTTTGCATCTAACTTTAAGCAAATGCTGTTTATAAAAACTCAAATTAAGCTAATACTCCCTGCCTCCCCACCCCCAAAACAACCCCAAAACCCTACACTGTGAAGTAGCAGGAGGTTGTTGAGGGAAGAAGGGAAAGGAAAAAAAAACGGAAAGCAACACTTGACTTGGTGTGGTATGGATGAGTGTATTTTTAAGGTATCTATGAGTTTCCTTTCTTGTTTGTTTAAAAATATACATGTTCAAATCCCTAAAATTCACACTATTTTTTTTCCCAACAGTATAGATGCTTTTGAACTTATATTTGCAAGTACCTCATTGGAAAACCAGCTATTTCCATGGGCTTTGATTCAGCTAGCTGAGAAGACCCCAGAAGACAGTCTCTGACCCTGCCTGGGGAATGGGATCTCTGGAGAAACTGCGGGGGGGCGGGGGGCGGGCAGCGGGGAGCTTCATGGCTTTGCTGAAATGAGGGAGTGGTTGCAAACAGAACAAGTTCCTTGGAGAATTCCCAGTTCCCTCTGGACTCCTCACCTTCCTGACAAGAGGTGCCCCACTCTTGGAAGCCCAGAACCACTGCACCTCGGGGGGCCACTACCATCAGCCAGGAGAACTCCTGGCTAACCGAGTACTGTCTCACTCGCCCCCACATCTGACTCTTGCTTTTCCGCCTATGTTCACTGTGCACCAGGCTCAGCACAAGTCCTCAGGCTGAGGGCCTGAGCCGCAGAACAATTTTGCTGCGGTTAAATACATCGAAATATTTTTTTAAAAACCACCTCTGGACTATAAAGCATGTTTGGGGTGGGGGGATTACTATGTGTGTATGTCCAGGAGAGGAATGGGTTGGGAAGGCAGAGGACAAACTGCTGCAGGCACTTTGGAGAGACACATGGGTAACCAGCTTGGCTTGGGCAGGCAGGCCAGTGGACAGAAGCCAACAGTGAAATGGTCAAGAACAAAGGCCATAGCTCCCCCTGGACAGGAGAAGAAACCCCGTGAGCATGACATACAAATAGGCCATGTGTGCAGAGGTCTGACAAGGATCCTGCAGTCCCGTGGCTACACACAAATCGACCTGGTAGGACCAGGAAAGACGGCCAGTCCTAGGAAGTCCCAGCCGCTCCTCCCCCAGGGACCACGTGGCTGTCTGCAGCGCAGCACAGAGCAGGGCAGCCGGGGAGCAAGATTTCCAGGCTCTGTGCATAGTCTCATATTGAGTCTGATTCTCTGGGAGGCTAGGGGTGGGGGTGTCACTGATGATTTCAGAATTTGAGTAAGGTCACTACTCCTTTGTCTTATCATTGGAAATGACGGAAAACTAAGTTTTAAATCCCAGTATGGGGAATTTAAAATATCTGAAGATTGCTGGCCACTGTTGAGAGTGACCAAGGGGGACTGCCAATTACAGAGCAGAAGAGGGTCCTGCGTGGCCATGGAACTGGAAGAAGGAGACTTAGCCAAGTGTCCTGCAAGACCCTTCCACTTCTGGGCCCTGATTAATCTCAGCTACAGCCAGTGTCTCCGTCTTTTATGCCCCACATCTTCCCTCTAGTGGTTACATCCACGTCAGTCCTTGTTCTCTACTCATGAGTGAACTCATTACTAGAAGCTCCTGGAAGGCGGAGCGTGGGCTGTCTCAGTCCTGAGCACCACACGATGCCTGAGATGGTGCTCAGGCTGCTACAGGCACACAAACAGAGCTGGGCTTGAATGTCAAACATCCCAACAACTCTGAGGTGAAATGAACATCTCCCTTCTCTTAAAGTAGGGCTAACGGAAATGCCAGAGCTCAGGACCTGGGCCCTTGGCCTGGCTTAGACCTGAGGTGGCTCAGGGAAAACCTGGCCTCCTGGAAGGAAGGCTGGCCCCCACCACTCCCGGCAGGTCAGGAGGCACCTCGCCAGTGACAGGGAAGGAGCCGTGGCTTGGAACTACTAGACGGACTATGTATGGGCTATGCCTTGACATGACCTACTTGGCTACAGGAATCCTATTTTTTTTATATATTGTTAAAAACTCAATTTTAGGAAATGAAAGTATTTGATAAACAGTAGCTGAGTGACATGTTGGATCTAGCCTGTAATTGTCCAATTTTGGTGTCTCTCATGCCCTCATGATGGACAAGGAAGGGAGAAGACTGACCAGCTGTATTTCCTTGTGCTAGGCCTATAAAATGTCACTCTCTTCCTGTCCCCAAAGTCCACTTCAACCAAGGTAGATAGAAAGGGTGAGGTGTTCCATAAGACTGTTTGTAGCCTCTGATGGCGAACCATGTTTTCTCTGCAGCCCAGGCCTGCCCAGCCTCTGGGATGAAGGGGCTTCCTTTATCTGTGCCCTGCCGCCTACCCTGCACACATCCCCAGCTTCAATTCTCCCAAAGGCCTCAGGTCTGATGGTGGCATGTGGTGGGTTTCTGGCTTAGAACCTGTCACACAAAGACAAGGACACCGGTGGGCACTGCTGGAGGCCCAGGAGCTGAGCCAGCACTGTTCATGCGTCTCAGACACCAATCGTCAGCTGTAGGGTAGAAAGAGGGCATCGACCCTTCCCTCCTCACTGCCGCTTTAATCGCTCCCTCTCTCCTGACAGTGCTCTAGCCCCTGGGAGTCAGGTGTGTGTGTCCGTGAGGGAGAAAACCCACGGTACCCCACCCCTGCCTTCCGCGGCCTACAAGCTGCGGCTCGGATCCTGACAGTCTGGGGGGGGCGTGGGGACTCACAGCCTTCTCATGCTGCCTTCCCTGCTCCTCCACATAATACTGACCCTGCCCAGAAAGCCTGAAATCATTTACGGCCACTGACCCAGACTTATAGAAGTACACATTGTAAGACCCAGGTTTTTAAATCTCTGAGAGGAAGCTGCGAATCTCTGTTGAACCACAAAGCAAAAACATTTGGTGGATTCAGATTCACAGCACTGTCTGTTTTTCGAAAACAATTCAACAACAATGTGTGTGAACACTGGGTAAAAGAGTCATGAGGATGATTATTACTCCTGAGACTTGATCATCAACAATAATGAAATCCCAGACTCCTCAGCCCTGGGCCGGCTTCTCTTGCGAGTAGCTTAGCAACCAGGCCTGGCAGGGCCGTGCAGGGCACCGTATCACCTTTCTCCACCGTCGCTTGCTTGCAAGATTCAAGCATTGGTTTCACGGTCACAGATGGGAAAACCAGATTCAGAGAATACCGGGTACTATCCAGTCTTCCTTCTCAGGTACCCTTTTTAGGACATTTCCAAAAATCTAAGTCAAAACTATTGTCTGTAAGAATGACATTTTAAAATGTGCTTTGCGGGGAAAAGTCACGTCAGTGTTAGGACTCTTGCCCTTTTTGCATTATATGCCATGACTTTCATCCCACGGTAATAGCCCATCAAGGGCCAGAAAGTACTGCCGGCGAGTAATGCTCCCAAAGAGCAACACCTGCTGCACGTCACCCCTCAGGGCCCCAGGGATCCAGGAAGGGCTGCTGACACACTGCTTTCTGACGCTGGGGCCCCGGCTGACCTGAAGGGAGATGTGGTTTCCCCTGCTCAAGGGCATGTGCAGTCCCGGATTTGGGGCTACCTCGTCCAGGATGTGCGAACCTCGGGTCATTAATCTGGAAGCACACATAACGTGGAGCGCAGCCGCGCGGTAGCTCGGTGCCTATTCTCCCTGATGACATCTAACTGGGTGACATGGGAAAGCAGATGGCTGGTCTGTCTGGGTCTGCACTCAGCTCCCTGACAGCTGGCCATTTTACCCCGGGTTTAGCTCAACCCATCCTTCCAGAAGCTCCCTTCCAAAGCCAGGACATCGGTAACGGGCACATGAGTTTCTCCGTCAAGTCTACTTCTTCCGTGTTTCTATTTCTTGAAGAACGCTAAATGATGCCCCTGTAGGTTATGACAGAGTATCGGTACTTCTCTAGAGCTTTCTGGACTCCCCACCCCTGAACAGAATCCCATCAGAACTGGCTGGTTTGTACTTTGTGGGGCTGTTGTGCCTGTGGCAGCCGGTCCTGAGACCAGGTGTCCCCCACACGGTGGGGAAGAGGGTGCTGCTCGGTTGCAGAGGAACTGGCCCGCTGTGTGCGGCCTGTACCACCTCCCCTCCAGGGCTCCCATGCAGCAGAGCTCGGACAAGACCCCAGTCCCAAGATCAACAAGGGCATCCATCTGCACGTGGACATTGGTGTGGCTGAGTGTGGCTACTCTGAAAATACCTGACTTAGCCAGTAAGGGGGTGTGAGGCGTTCTGAGAGCAGGCTGGCTTTGGGGTGGCCGGCCGGGGGCAGCAAGAATCACACGGGGAAGGGAGAGGCCAGGGTCAGGGCAGGAAGTGCTGAGGGACTGTGGGGACAGCGGGAGGGACTGAACTGCTCTACCTGCTCGGCAGGCTTGCGAGCCCGGCGGATGGTCTGCACCAGGGATCTAAAGCACACTGGAGCTGCTCCTGAGCAGCACGGGTGTTCACCCTTGAGTTCACACCACAGCGACTGGGACGACGGTTCACCTTAACGTCCGATATATCACCCAAAGGACATGTTAAAGGGTGTGAAAGTAGACCCAGGTGGTTGCCTTCGCTGCTGAGTTGACATCTTTTTAAATAAATCAAAAATACCTTCAACGAAAACTTTCAAAACCCCAGACCTTAAGATGACAAGCTCTGCTGATTTTTTTTCCTTTGAAAAATGCATACAAAATACAGATAATGGTTATAAAATGTCAGCTGCGATGGTGATTTGCTGGAACACAGGGTCCACCACAGGAATTGCATCATGAGAGCCTGAGTGCAATCAGGACAGGAAGGAGGGGGAGGGGGAGAAGGAGCATTTGCAAGGCAGGAGCAGGAGGGCTGTGTCACTTGAGATGCGAAAGAAAATTGACAGTGAGGTTGTAAAAATGATGCAGCTTCAGAACCAAGTTGTTAGCCACAAAGCAATTTACACGGAAGGTCAAATTCATGCCTTTCATTTTCTTTCATGGAGGATTAAAAAATTAAGAGAAGTGGAATTCCCTCTCTCCAAACCCCACCCCCTTTTTTTTTTGGTGTCAATAGAGAAATATTAATTAACTCTCACTCTCAGGTCTTAAAAGCCTTTGCATCATTTTTATTTTGAACAAAAGTGAATCATCTTTTACAAAACCATGGCGTCCTGGCAAAGCTGCATCACTGGGATGGCTGAAAATACAGTGCCCACGGTTAAAACAAACAAAAGATTGGCTTGAGGAGTCGAGAGGTGGCTCAGTGTACCCGTTACCTAAGGACATCTAGAAACAATCCCGCCCCCGATCAGAGGCTCTGCCTGCAGGGCCCACCACAGTGAGCGGGCTGCCTGCTAGACCTTTCCTTTTCCGAGACCCAGCTTTGACTTTGGGCTATTTTTCTGGCCGGGGCTACCTGATGACCCGTTGGTCCCACATTAGCAGCTCCTTCCGCAGACCAACCCCAGGCTGTCCAGAAGCACCCCTCCCCGCCCCCCGTCCAGGAGCAGCCTTCCCTCTTCTTAGCACTATCTCCTCATCCCACCCTCCGAGAGAGCCCCCCACAGCGCTCCTGCTGCGGCCCTCCCTGCGGCCACCCCACCAGCCCCGGCCGCCCACTCCTCCACCTGCACCCACCAGGCCAGGTGTGGCCTCCGGGAATCCCAGGGCCTTCCCGCAGCGGAGGTGGCCTCCACCCATCTGTCCCAGGGCCATGAGCTGACCGAGGCCGCGCGTCTGCCTACCTTCTGGCCGAGGAAGAGGCTCTTGGTGGAGAGGACCGTGAAGCCGTCGGCCGGCGTCCCCTCGGTGGTGCTGTCGGCGCTGGCGGCCTTGCTGACTTCCCCCTGCTTCTTCTTGCACAAATACAAGAGTCACTAGGAGGCCCGCACAGGCAGACACCCAAGGAATCTGGGCTGTTCTAACAGGGAGGTGGCTCCCGGGCCCTGCCCATCATCCTGCAGAAAACAGGCCACTACCGCACCACTGGTCTTTGGCCGTTCTCAAAGTGGGAGCCGCAGACTCTGGGAAGTCCCGGAGCTCTACCAAGAGCGTTGTCATTTCATCACTTTGTAATCTCAAAACAGAGCTACTTAAAGGCAAAACTTCACTGTGGAGTGATAATCTACAACAACTATTTTCATAAACTTAGACCAATTAAATGTCCCTTAATTAAGGGTCTTTGCTTTCTAGATGTGTGCACGTTATTCAAGTTTGAGGGGAAAAAGCAAACTTCCTGATCACGAGTTCTCAAAGAGCCAAACATAAGACCAAGGACCATAACCCTCCAGCCCTCCCCAGCCCAGGAGGTAAGCCACTTCCCGACTGTCCTTCAAGAAAACCAGCCTGGGAGAAGGATCCCTACGGTGGCTGCTGGTGAGCCCCGGAGAGTGGGCATGGCTATCAGTGTGCTCCTGGGCCTCTTCTTTGGCCCAACCAGACTCAAGTATGTATACCCTGGGGTTCCCAAGAGCCCTGCAAGGTATATTGTCCAGAGAGGTTTCATTCATTTCCAGATCCTCAACTTTCTAACAGACTTTTCCTGAAACCGATCTGCCCTGAGTGATGTGCACCTGTGACGGAGGTCTCACGCCCCATCTCCTTGCACCACCATGCTTGTCCTGCTTCCCATTACTGGCCTGGCACACACCTCCCCCCCCCCCCGCCACCCCAGGAGTAGGGATACAGGGCTTTACAAGTCTTTCATGCATTTCTGTTAAGTAGGAGGACCATATGAGAAATGGGTATTTTGGCTCATTTGGGGATGTCTGCATTCAGATATGTCACAGACTGAGGAGAATGGGAACAATGGATGGTAGTCTGTGTTCAGACACTCCACCTTTTCCCTTCCCCCCAGTTATGAAAGTACATCATTCTTGCGGGGTTGCTTGAGTGTGAGCAAACCAAGAAAGCAGGGGTGAGAGGTATTCCAAATGGCCATGCCTTCCTAAGGAAGGCTCTGGACGGCAAACTCAGGGCAAGCTCTGTGCCCGTCCACATGCCTGTTTAGGGATTCACATTCATTCACATATTAACATTTTGGCTTACATTGAAAAAATATTCTAGTTTTACAGTCTGCTTTAACAAGAAGGACTGCTTTAACGTTTAAGTTCTATGGCCAAGCTGGAACATTTTCTGTACATAAAATGAGCTAAATCTGAAAGTCCAAGGTTTGGATATAAATGCTAATACAAAAAACATTTTGTCAAGAGACACAGCATTAGCAAAGATATGTTAAAATGATCACCATTATGGTTTTCCTAGTTCTTTCAGTATACCAGATTTGACAAAGTGAAAGAGAACCCAACAGTGAAAGGTATAACCTACAGTTATGTGGTAAGACTTAGTAAGCCTTTTTTGATATACTTTCCAGGAAACACGAAAGGAAAAGGCAGGGTGACAAATCCTTTCACTACTCAGATGTTTCTAATTCTGTGCTTTCAACAAAATGGGAGAAATACCAAATTGACTTAACAGCTGAGAGATCACTGAAGAACAGACTTCATAGTAATGTACCAACGCCAGTTTCTTAGTTGTGACCAATGTACCAGGATGATGGAAGACGTTACAATGGGGAACCTCGTGGGGGGTACTGAGGAACTCTCTGTAATGTCTGTAACTTTTCTGTCAATCTAAAACAATTGTAAAATAAAACATGCATTTAAACAAATTGATGACAGATTACTAGGTGACTACTGGCACTTAACTCAAGAGTTCAGAGGACTGAGTGATGTTGCTTTAACAAAATCCTTTCCATTCCCACTTATTTTTTGTGAACAAGACATTCCCAGTACTTATACCTGTAAATATACAAATACAGGATGCTGAACCCTGTTTCATTTTAGCAATAAGTCACTATCTTATGAACTTGAGTTAATTGTAAAAACTATATCTCCATCTATCCCATAAGATACAGTTCCAAGAATATTTTTTCCTTAATAGTTATTAAATTTGTAAAATATTTATTGGTTTGATGAATTGTGTGTTAATAAATGTGATTACTATCCAATCTTATAGAATCCATAACATTTAGTGCCTTTATGATCACAAATTTTTTCCAAGAAACTTTAAATTTGTATTTGTTGTGAAGATCAATACAATACTACCACCCACATTAAATGTGTGGAATTAGGATAAAATTATGTGGGACAAGTGAAAGGGATAAACAGGCTCAAGGAGAAAAGTAATGTGAATTTTCCACTTGTTTAAAAAGAGCTTGTCTGTATACTTTTAAAATGATGATGGTATAGACCAGAAAGGAACACAGACAATATACAGTAACAGTCACCTCACGGGCAGTACAATAAATTCATATCTTTCAGTAGTTACCCTGAATGTAAATGAGCTAAATGCCCCAAAAGACACAGGGTATCAGATTGGATAAAAAAAATATGACCCATCAATATGCTGTCTGCAAGACACTCATTTTAGACCCAAAGACACCCCCAGATTGGAAGTGAGGGGGTGGAAAACCATTTACCATGCTAATGGACACCAAAAGAAAGATGGGGTGGCAATCCTTACATCAGACAAATTAGATTTTAAACCAAAGACTGTAATAAGAGATGAGGAAGGACACTATATCCTACTTAAAGGGTCTAACCAACAAGAAGATCTAACAATTTTAAATATCTATGCCCCTAACATGGGAGCAACCAATTATATAAGCCAATTGATAACAAAAGCAAAGAAACACATCGACAACAATACAATAATAGTGGGGGACTTTAACACCCCCCTAACTGAAATGGACAGATCATCTAAGCAAAAGATCAA